CAGCCCCCTGGCCAGCCGCCAGAACACGCTGCGGAGCTGCGACCCCGTGTTCTATAGGCAGGTGCTGGGCGCCGAGAGCTCCCCTCCCGGACAGGTAAGGCTCAGCAGGCCGGCCCGGGCCCATGGCAATGCTTTTGGATTCCTGCGCCGCGTTCAGGAAGGCTTGTTTGGTTTGGTTTGGTTTTTAGTGGTGAAGATGTCTTTGCAAAGGGAATGCCCGCGACCAGAGTGTGATTTGTGGTCACTCACAGCATGGAGTTCATTGACTCCTCTGTGGACACAACTCACACCCTCAGCACTTGCTAACCAGCCTTGCTAAGGCGCTGTTAAACTATAACCCGATATCTCAGTGCTCCGAGGTTAGCCTGGTGTCATTTGCACTGGGAACACGCTGCTGTATACCTCTGACCAGCGGCGGCTGCTAGGAATATAAAAATTACCTCATTTGGCCATCTTTCAAGTGATCGCCACATCTGCATTACAGCTCTTGGTTTGCTGGTAATTTTCCTTTGCCCTCACAGATGCTGCGCCTCATTCCTAGGTGATTTTCTAGGAAAGAAATAAAATTCTAGGTATCCTTTAAATTTTATTTCAAGTACACTACTGGAAATGATGTGTGCATTACTTATAAACTATTTTTATGTTATAATAGTGATCCATGTGCATTATAGAAAAATTGGAAAATAGAGAAATTTATAAAGAAAAATTAAAACTAACTGTAATCCCCAAGCCCAAGGGTAACCACCATTAATTATAAAAGTAAAAGTAATTATTTGCTTCGAAAATAATCCAGACAATCCAAAACAACGGAAAGTACAAAATGAAAATTTTTTATACCCCCATGTAATTCCCTATCCTACCAGCACTTAAATATACACATAATGTGAAAAGTAGGTTTTTCTTAAATATACACATAATGTGAAAAGTAGGTAAATTCATATCCTGGGAAAAGTAAAGCTTTCATTTATTCAGGATGATGTGTAGATGACTGCAAGGCGTTTGTCTTGGAGTGAAACTTATACACACCTCTGATGGTGGGAGAGCCACAGTTTTGTTACTAACAAGTGTGTAATTGCTATGAACCTCTTATTTGGCAGTTAAACAAATGAGGCTGCACCACTTATCAACTAGGAGTCCTTGGCCAAGTTCATCTTTCTTGGCCTGTTTCTCATATGCAAAAAGGAAATAACAAGGGTCTTACAAGATTAGTGCATGACCGAATGTGTGCACACTGCCTGGTGTATCATAAGTGTTATCAAATTCTTAGCTGTTACTATTATTATTTCTACTAGTTCTTTATGCACCCCAAATATGTTTTTAAAATATTATTTTATTTTGATTTATTGATTTTAAAGAGAGAGAGAAAGAGAGAGAAACATCCATTTGTTGTTCCACTTATTTATGCATCCATTGGTTGATTCTTATATGTGCCCTGACCCAGGATTGAACCTGCAACCTCAGTGCGCAGGGACAGTGCTTTGACCAATTGAGCTGCCTGGCCAGGGCACCCACCCCAAATCTTAAACACACCTTAGAAATGAGCAAATCCGGAGACTGCAGAAGATGACAAAGTAGTTACGTATATGGAAAGGCTAAGGAAGGATGAGAGCCAGAGAGAAGCAGCTGCTACTCTTCCGGTCACACTGGAAAACAACTGGCCCCTTCCCTAGCGCAATGTTCCCAAACTTGGTTGCACACTAGAATTACCGAGGGACCTTTTAAAAATTCTGAAGCCCAGGCCACATCCCAAAGCACAATCTCTGGGGGAGAGACACAGGGATCAGTAATTTTTAAAGATCCCTAAGTAATTCCAATGTGAAGGAAAGTTTGGAAACCACTGCCCTAGAACCTGCCAGCCTATCAAGTAGCATATTTATGAAGCAAAGTGTTATTCTGGTGTTTACAGAACCAGGAGCCAGCCTTACTGGGCCAGGCCAAAATTTTAAAAATTCTATGATGTTATTTCCCAAACTTAAAGTATTACATAGAATAGCTCCAGAAGAGCATTGTAAGGAAGACATAAGATGATATTTCAGACATCTAAAGAGACAATCTTCCTAAACCACTAGTAACCAGGCAACTATTCTTTAAAAATCTAGAGCTGGGCGATGGGCATGGGGTCTCTTTTGGGGGCTGACAAAAATGGTCTATAATTAGAATGTGGTAACGGCTGCATTGTTTAGTGTATGTGAATATACTTTAAAAACCATTGACTTGTACACTTTAAATGGATGAACTGTATAGTATGTGAATTATAGCTCAACAAAGCTGTTTTAAAAATCTAGAGTTGGGAGAATCACATACCTGGCATAAAAAAGGTCAAGTCAAGGATGTGTAGGATTAAGGCTTTATAATGCTCCGATTCTAGTAATACGGACTATATGCCTGTTTGTTTTGGTGTGGACTTGCAAATATAAGGGATTGAGACCTATAAGAGGTTTAGTTCTTGGATATTAAAAGCCATCAGTAAAGGTCCAGTTTATGCTATAGAGATGACAAACCAGTAGAAAATCATTTAAGATGTTATAGAACGAGGCTTTATTTCTTTCCAGACAGGCCAGGGGCAGGAGTGGGGGGAATCCTAGTTCTGCACATACTAGTTGTTTAGCTTTAGACAAGTCTCCTAATCTCTCTGAACTCCTGTGCCCTCATCTATAAAATAAAGATAATACCTCCTTTCAAAATTGTTGAGAGTGAAAAGTAATGCATATAAAGTGTCTGTACTCAACATATGAGTACTCATATAAAGCGCAAGTACTCAATAAATATTTGTTAAACTAATAAATGATAATATCAGTAATTCACCACTCACCTATGTGCCAGACACTGTAAAAGATGAAAAGACACAGTCCTGCCATTATGGTACACAGAGTACCATAGGAGACAGACATGCAAAACAAACAAACAAATCAAGATAATACAAGAAGTAATGGGAGCAGAGGGAAAGAAACACCTAAGCCAGCCTGGGGAAATCAGGAAGGCTTCATAGAGGTGGTGATGCTTGAGTTGAGAACTAAAGATTGAGCAGTAGTTTGTTAAATAGTAAAGGGGAAAGGGGCAGAGAGGGGATCTTGCAGGAAATTCCATGCTGAGGAATAATGATATTACATTATTGCTGAACTTTAAAGTATGTTTGTAAAACATACAGTCTTTGCAAGAGGTAAAGTGAAGCAAGTAGGCAGGAATTAGATCTGGAATTACCTTTAGGCCAGGCCAAGGAGTTTTTATTTTACTCTGTATTGGTGATAGTCATTGCAGAATTTTGAACTGATATATATATATGATGTCATCAGGTTTGTTTGTTTATTTGTTTGTTTGTTTTAGAGAGATTATTCTAGCAGCCACGAGTGAGATGGATTGGGGATATTGAGACGGAAACAAAGAGAACAGTTAGAAGGCTACTATGATATTTAAGGAAAAGATTGATAAATGTTTGAACCACCCGAGTGGTAGTATGCATAGAGGAAAATTACCATAGTGAAATCATCAGGACTTGTTGACTGGCATGATATAGGTAGTCAGGGAGAGGACTGAGTCAAGGATGACCATACCTGTTCCAATTGAGGCACCTGGGTGGATGCCACTGGATGGTGCCACTCATTGAAGCGAATCCTGGCATAAACACCTAGTAGGTCAGACTGATTTACACCTCCATCATCCCCATGGGAGGAGGTTTAGGTGGTTTTGTAAAAGAACACAGAAAGCAGATCCCTTCCTTTGAGACCAGAATGTTGGCTGCTGGCCTCACCATGGCCAAAGGATACTCCTGAGGATCAAGGGTTTGGAAAAAAATATAGGGAGGTTAAGAAACCCAGGTTTTGCCACTGGTTTTGGCATCCACTGGAAACCTAGGTGAGGATTCGAATGAGTTCAGAATTAAGTCCAGATCAGACATATGAATTTTTCTCTTTGTGCTCTGGTGTGTTTGCCACTCAGGTTACAGTTTGCAGGTAACTGCAGTGTGAAATGAGCTGTGTTTCTGTGTTTGTGCAAGGTGGTAGCCAGGCTCCTGGGAGGGTCTGGATCAGGGTCTGGGTGGAGTAACATCAAGTCTCCAGCTCCAAGAGGCCCCCTGGGGGGCTAAGTGAAAAGCTTGCTCTTTTGAAACCGCCTCTGTTGGTAATTAACAACATATCAGGCATACCGTGGTGTCAAATAAAGGGGATTTGTAGGCACAGTGCTGTTGGTAGCTTGATCTCAATCATTCACGGGCGCTATTAAACCTGTGAACGTTAGCATTCTGCCAGGTAATGAGGTCTAGTCCTTAGCACCTCCCAGACACAACTGATTCTTCACTGATTTGGAGCATCTCCCATTCCTGGCTTCCTCCACTCTGCTTCATCTCCTTCCATACTGTCCTTGAAATCAGTGAATGGTAATTTAGTATATCACTAGCGAGCATCTGAATAAAAGAGGTTTGGTTTCCGCCGCGCCTCCTGTTACAACAAAAATGTGTACTGCATGAATTTAATTGGCTACATTAATGTGTGAGCCTTTTTGCAAAGAGATGGATACGTTTCTGAATAATCTGAGAGAGGCAGAGTTTTCTGTATATGGCAGTGCTTCTAATTAGCTGTTGCTCTAATACAATTGGACAGAGCGGAAGCTACTCATTTAGAATATTGGTGGATGACAGCCCTGGCTGGAACAAAGTGACCAGTCGCGAATGGCTACTCCTCTCTGGGCGGCAGGTTGCTAAGGCTCTGGCTGTCGCTGTTTTCCCCGCGGAAAAGGGGCGGGGAAAGTTGGTGTGTTCGAGGGGAAAAAAAACAACACATATATGTTGTCTGCCTCTCCACAGAGGTAATAATAACCCGTGGAAAGAAATGCTGTTGAGCGGGAGGAAGGCGAAAAGATGGGTGTTTTTTGTTTTGGGGGGTGTGTGTGTGTTTTTCTCCAATGCTGCGACGCATTAACCCTGCTGCTGTTGGGATGTTCTCTGCCCAGCCTATTGGCTGAGCCCGGGAGCCGCTGCCTGCCAATCGGGTGGCAGAAGGCAGACAAATCTACCCCGCCACCAGCAAAAAACGGCGCGTAACCCTTGCGGCGCCGGCCCAGCCGCGCCAGAGCTGGCGCGGGCGAGGGGAGGCAGGTGTCTCCAGCTGCTGTGGCCGCTCGGGGCGGGTCGGCTGCTGCTGCTTCTCGGGACCAGGTAGAGAACTGGCAGGCGGCAGCGATGCTCCCCAAGGTGAGAAGCTGGGCAGAAATCTGCCCGGGGGCTACCCTTTTGTTCCTCTTTTGCTACCCGGGCTACGTTTGTGGGCAGATCCGCTACCCGGTCCCAGAGGAGTCACAGGAGGGGACTTTTGTGGGGAATGTCGCCCAAGATTTCCTGCTGGATACAGAGAGTCTGTCCGCTCGCAGGCTGCAGGTAGCCGGAGAGGTGAACCAAAGACACTTCCGTGTGGATTTGGACAGCGGAGCCCTGCTCATCAAGAATCCAATTGATCGAGAGGCACTGTGCGGGCTCAGTGCCAACTGCATCGTGCCCCTGGAGTTTGTAACCGAAGGGCCTTTGGAAATGTACCGAGCGGAGGTAGAAATCGTGGATGTGAATGATCACGCCCCCCGATTTCCTCGGCAGCAGCTGGACTTGGAAATTGGGGAGGCAGCTCCTCCAGGACAGCGGTTTCCCTTGGAAAAGGCTCAGGATGCAGATGTGGGGAGCAACTCCATCAGCAGCTATAGACTAAGCTCCAATGAGCACTTTGCACTGGATGTCAAGAAACGCAGCGACGGCAGCCTGGTCCCGGAGCTGCTCCTGGAGAAGCCTTTGGATCGGGAGAAACAATCAGACTACCGCCTGGTGCTGACTGCTGTGGATGGAGGTAACCCTCCAAGATCTGGCACCGCGGAGCTCCGGGTATCGGTGCTGGACGTGAACGACAACGCCCCAGCCTTCCAGCAATCCAGCTACAGGATCAGCGTGCTGGAGAGCGCGCCCGCCGGCATGCTGCTCATCCAGCTCAACGCCTCTGACCCGGACCTGGGTCCCAGTGGTAATGTCACCTTTTCTTTCAGTGGTCACACCCCTGATCGTGTGAGAAACCTCTTTAGCCTGCACCCCACTACTGGAAAGCTTACCCTTCAGGGGCCCCTAGACTTTGAGAATGAGAATTACTATGAATTTGATGTTCGGGCTCGTGATGGGGGTTCTCCAGCCATGGAGCAACATTGCAGCCTTCGAGTGGATCTCCTGGATGTAAATGACAACGCCCCCCACATCACGGTGACCTCAGAGCTTGGGACTCTCCCAGAGAGCGCAGAGCCTGGCACTGTGGTGGCACTCATCAGTGTGCAGGACCCCGACTCGGGGTCCAATGGAGACGTGAGCCTCCGTATTCCTGACCACTTGCCATTTGCCCTCAAGTCGGCCTTCAGGAACCAGTTCTCCCTGGTGACGGCTGGGCCCTTGGACAGAGAGGCCAAATCCAGCTATGACATCATGGTTACTGCTTCTGACGCTGGGAACCCTCCTCTGAGTACCCAAAGGACTATTTTCCTCAACATTTCAGATGTGAACGATAACCCGCCTTCTTTCTTCCAGAGGTCACACGAGGTGTTTGTTCCTGAGAACAACCGCCCAGGAGACCTGCTTTGCTCCCTTGCAGCCTCTGATCCAGACTCTGGCTTGAATGCACTCATCTCCTACTCTCTCCTAGAGCCCAGAAATCGAGACGTGTCAGCTTCCTCTTTCATCTCTCTGAACCCCCAGACGGGAGCCGTTCATGCGACTCGTTCCTTTGACTATGAGCAAACACAGACACTGCAGTTTGAGGTGCAGGCCCGGGATCGGGGCAACCCACCCCTTAGTAGCACCGTGACAGTTCGTCTATTCGTGCTGGACCTCAACGACAATGCCCCAGCTGTGCTCCGCCCTAGGGCCCGGCCGGGTTCCTTATGCCCCCAAGCACTGCCTCCATCAGTGGGTGCTGGTCACCTAGTCACAAAGGTGACTGCTGTGGACTTGGATTCAGGTTACAATGCTTGGGTTTCATATCAGCTCCTGGAGGCCCCAGACCCCAGCCTGTTTGCAGTCTCTCGCTATGCTGGGGAGGTGCGGACAGCTGTTCCCATTCCAGCTGATCTCCCACCACAGAAGCTGGTCATTGTGGTAAAGGATAGTGGGACCCCACCGCTTTCTACCTCTGTTACTCTCTTAGTGTCCTTGGAGGAAGACGCTCATCCAGTTGTCCCTGATCTTCGAGAATCTTCAGCTCCGAGGGAAGGAGAATCCCGCCTGACCCTCTACTTGGCTGTATCACTAGTGGCAATTTGCTTTGTCTCCTTTGGCTCCTTTGTGGCACTGCTCTCTAAGTGTCTGCGTGGGGCTGCCTGTGGAGTGACCTGCTTTCCTGCTGGCACCTGTGCATGTCTCACCCGCTCTCGAAGGAGGGAGGGGCTTCCTCCTTCCAATGGGATCCTCCGAATCCAGCTAGGGTCAGATGATCCTATCAAGTTTGTTGATGTGGGCGGCCACTCTCATGGCTGTACACCCTTGGCTTCTGCACCCACTCGGAGCGATAGCTTCATGATGGTGAAGTCGCCCAGTGCGCCTATGGCAGGGGAGCCTGTTCGCCCAAGCTGCCCACCCTCTGATCTTCTCTATGGGCTAGAGGTGAGATCTTTGCAGGCTCGGCCAATGCTTGAGGGTTATTCTGATCCAGGCATATGGCTGGGCCGTGTCCCGGAGAGTATTGGCTTTTCTGTAAGAGCCCGTAGTGGTGTCGCCATTTTTGTGAGTGGTAACTATGTGGCAGATGCTGTGCTTTAGAAGCCCCTTGTGAATTAGCCAGGGAGTTGTCGCAGGTTAGTACTTGGGTTTGGGTTATGACCTTATCTGAGAGTAAGAAATGAAAGTAAGTGATCAAGAGCCAGGGTGCTGTGGAAGCGTGCTTCCAGAATGTGGGAGCATGGTAGGCTACAGCTCACAGGGGTAGGGTGCACCGAGCATCACCTAAACCCAGGTGGCTGCTTTCTCTACTCTTCCTGAATGGGGGGACCAGATTCTGGACTACCTTAACTCTAGATTGCCATTTCCCAATGGACTGAGGGAAACATATCTTTGCCTCACAGTATCAAGTACTCCCTTACCCACTGTGAAGGGAAACTCTCTGCTTGAAACATGGGAAAGAGCACAGAGGAAAGAGCCAAGGGAGTAGAGCCATCAAGGTGGAAGGAGAGACCTGCTAGTCCAGATCTTCAGGACTCTCAGTCACGTCCCCACCAGGATTTCAGCTAGATGCAGTAGATTGCGGGCAGGGGAGCATTACCTCTTTGGGGTAAAAGCATAAAGTGAAATCACTTAATGTCAGAAATCTGGTTTACAGATGAGGCACTCATAGAGATAGCTACTCTGGGGGTCTCAAAGTAGAGTTCTTCTGAATTGGTGAAACCATAAAGCCTAGAGGCCATGCTTAGTTTCTAGTCACCCTCCTATGTGACCTGGATCAGTCCCAGAAATGTTTCCCCTACCATAAGCTGTCATGCTCATTCCACAGCTCAAGTCTGGGATCTCAGGAAAGCTGAGTGCTGTTGTCGTCAGTTGACATTGAGATTCCTTAAAGCATTGCTGGAAAGTCAGAGCAAGACTCCACACGATCTTAACAAACCTCTCTTCTCATCTTAGCAATGTCTGGCAGGATGGGGGCGGGAGGGGGACACATGGGCTTGTCTTCCCCCAGAAGGACAAACTTTTGTTGGTTTGAGCAAAGTAGTGGAAGCTTCTGAAGTCATGGGGAAAGTTGCTGGGACAGAACACTGAGAAGCTTTGTACCGCTTTGTCTTTCCTGTTGAGCACCATCTGAGCTGTCAAATTTTGCTGCCAAGGGGGCTGAATCAACCTGCAGCATGAAATGAGTGGGGAGGTAGGAGGCTTCTGTGACACAGATTGGCAGCCTGTTCCTAAGGTTTCCAGGGCTGAGAAGACTTCCTAATTGGTTGAAAGCAGACAGACTTTTTGGCCAATCAGACTCAGAGCCGAGGTGGGGGATCTGCTCTTCCTGCCCGCCTCTCCTCCCCCAGCTCCCCAGCTCCACTCAGATTTAATTCCCCTTCCCC